TGCAACCACACTGTCCACACCACAGTGTTGTACCCTGCTGCATCCTAATCAAAATGTAGAACCTGTAAATAGAACAACATATGTAACTGCTATCTGCAGTACCAGGTCCAGATGTGAGAAAAAGATTCACCTGATTATTCTACCTTGAGCTCTAAATGATTATATACCAGAGAAATGACAAATAAAGAAATAAGAAGAGACTCAACAGGGTAAATACAGAACCAAACCATCAGGCTGTTTACCTCCTCTAACATGCTTCAAAATATCAGTCCTACTAAATACCAGCAAACTGTTGGATATCTGTCCAGCCAAACACTGATAAACATTAGTACAGAACAAAACAAGAAAACCAACCTGTCCCCACCTGCTACAGTCAGCTATTGTCATCGTATACCCTCTTTCTTTCTTCTTCTTTTCAAGCAGAGCAGACAAAAAAAATCTTATCACACCTCTTTCATCACACTACATGACAGATTACACTGTATTATCTTTTGCCATTTCAAGCCAACCTCTAGCAAACCACCACACAACTGTAGACGCCACACCACAAGAGCTTGACTCTACCTTGTGGGAGGTAGCAAATTAGATCCTCCTTGATCCTTGAGTTTTATGCTGCACACCACTGGCTTAGGGGGAGAAATGTCATAATTTCTAACCTGTACTGAAAAGCTATCTGACCTACAGTAAATGCTGTGTTTCAACCCCAGCATTCTTCACAGTCATGAGTTTTATTAATTCACATATCCACAGGATCCACAGGATTCTGCTGTTGGCGACTGGGAGCTGCCCAGTATATGTCTCATTATGCTCTCCTTCAGTGTATCCACTTGCCTCTTATTGAATGCATTAAGATGGGTGTGGAGTAAGGTCTTTTGCACTTGATTTTTGCCTGCCCAATGCAACTGCTGGGTTTCCTCTTGCTAATGACAAAAGACAGCCAATTTCTGCAGAAACGTTAATGTGTTTACACACGCAATGATTTATTGCTGATAGAATGGAGTGTAATATTATTAGTTTGATTTTGTTAGTGAGGCTGCAAGGTGTTCATCAGAATAATTGCAGGGTGGCAGATAAAAGAGAGGAGGGTGAATATACAGTAGTCTAAACAGAGGCTCAAGACTTACTCTGCATTCAGCCTGATTGTAGCAGCTGTTGGGTGCGGCCCAAATTGTATCTCAGCATAAGGCAGGACATATGGCAGTGCTCAGACATGGTTGGCTTCGAGGAGGAGATAGGACCCAAAGGACCAACTTCAGATGGGTTTTCATATGGACAAACAAGGGAATCAGGTGACTGGTCGTTTCAGAAAATTTATGGCCAGAAACCTGCGAGCTAGTTGAAGCTCTGCACTGTTAATCACTGCCACATATATTCAGCGCTCACCCACAGCATTCACCTGTAGGATCTAGGTTGCCCAAAGGGATAGTTATCGTCAGTGAGTCAGGTGCCAAATACATGTTCTAACTCATATAACGTGAGTTGGCTGACTGAAATGTCCTTCCAACAACTCCTACATAAGAGGAGGTCCTATCCTTATCTTAAATAGTACAAAATAGTTTAATGTTATCTTGGAAACAACAGAAACACGGCTGTGACTGACTGGCAGCAAATCTCAGTCCCTGCCTGAAAAGCTTGTAGCCATCCATGTAAGGCAGTATTTTTACTGAGAAGTTCTCAGGTGTGAGTTCAAAAAGAGTGAAACAGTGAAACCTCTGGAGAGAAGTGTTAACAAAATAATGAAAAACATCTCTAATACAGCTACAATCCCTCACTGGGAGGTAGTATGGAAAATATTTGTCTGCTCTGAGTTTTTTGTATTTTTGTTGTTATTGGGTGGAGAAGGTCAGTCAACATCTGGGCTACAGCTCCAAGGGGAGATATATTGGTTTGGCATTGCTCAGCTCAGCTTGTTGTGAGGGCTAAATGTCACTTGCTGCAACTGGGCTGATGCTGGCGCCCTGCTGCCTCCCTGGGGGGTTGATGGAGATTCAGGCATTTTGCTTCCCAGATTATAGTTCTCCAAAATATAATACAGTTTCCATTCATTACTGAGCACAACTGCATGCTGGTTAGGGAGAGAAGTGTGAGTGCATTTTGAATGTATGGGGCATGTACCCTCAGTGTTCTACACATCATCTGTCTCATTCATTTTCTTGAGTAACCCACAGCAAATAAACACATGAATAAAAGAAGAAAATATGAATGGTTTAATGGACAGTTTTGTTGTACAGACCAAAATATGGAAAAACTTTTCCAAATGAGGCGCAGCCTCATTTAACATGCATTTTACATGTATGTACCAATACTGATGTTCTTAATTTTAACCATATGCTAATTGTGCTAATCTGATTCTTTGTGCTACGTCAGTGTGGTTCTGAGCTCTGTACCAGTTGCATCTGAGTCATTCTTGTCTTTCTCTCCCTCTGTCTCTGAACGCTGCTTGTAATTTGTGGCCTCTTGCATACGCATATTTGTGGAAATAGAGCAGCCTGTCGAGCATAGTGTGCAGTTAGTAAGCCTAATAGCTACACAGAGGTTGGTTGATTGAAAAGTACTTTGAAATGTTTACAGGTCTGATGATGCACTTAATACTGTATATTTATTGCTTTAAACTGCTTAAAGTGCTTGATTGCTTCGAGAAAGACGCTCAAAGCTTTAGGTGACAAAAATGTGAAACATGTCAGTGTCAGTAAAGCAAGAGATTTTCTCAGAACTGATCTTATAGGTTATACCTATATTTCTCACATGCCCAGTCCATGCCAAGGTCCGGCTTTTCAGGACAAACAGTGTTGCTCTCAGTATTTCAACATCATTCACACATTAATTTCAGCAGTAGGCATTTTCGATTTGCCCACTGCTGAACAAACCTTTCCACATTTCTAGCCATGTGCTAATGATGACTTGCTCATAAGCGTCATGGGACGATTATTCTGTTTATGCTCTATAGCCTGTAATTATATCTGATAGATTAAATGCTGAGAGAGGTTTGATTGTCTTTAGCAGTGAGAGAAATTACATGTAAGCTGCGTAATGAATGTGCTGGTTAATCCTATCAAAGGCATGGAAAGCACATAGATATGAGTAGTGTCGACTGTGATGTAGGAGGTTATCCATCCATTATGAAAATGTGTAATTGATTGTGTGTCATGGTGATGATTTAATGTCTTATGGATGATGGTTTGATTTGGTTCTTTATGGACTATTTAGAAAAGAAAGAGAAAGAGGTTCTTCTCATCTTTGCAACAGGTTTCTAGCTGTTTTGCAGAAATAGTAACATAGGGTATGAAAATAGAAAGACTGTGCAACAATCAACCTTAACTGAACCCAAATCACACACCTTGAATGTCACATAGTGGTGGCAGACACACCCCCTTCAGCTTCTAGAGAAATTGGTCCACCCGGTCCTAGTTACCCTTGCAATTCTTCACATAGGTTATAAGTACTAATCCAATAAAACCCTGACATAGTAAGCTGCTTTTGATTTTTCTTTAATTGGTATGGTATGGTATGGTATGGTTTAGTATAGTGTAGTATAGTATAGTATAGTATGGTATAGTGTGGTATAGTATAGTAATAATATAGTAGAGCTTGAACTCACACAGTAGCAGTACATGCAAACACATAAATGTAGACCTAGCTGTCATTTTTTACATAGTTAATTAATAAATGACTTATTAATCATATTGTATTGTATCGTATTCATTTTTACTTCAGTGACATTGCCCCAGTGCTTTTGCACACAACCTACGGAACTTAAAAATTGATTTAACCCGCTTCCTTATTCATCAAGTCCTTTTTACACAGAGCAGAAATCATGTTGACATTCTCTCAGCTCTCAAGTCGGTCCTATGCAATTCATTTCTTTGTTCCCCATCTTTCACTAGGTAGCCTGGAAAGAGTAACCAAGTCTTTCTAAAGCAAGGCCCAAAGAAATCGAAATGGGAAAATGTGTAGAAATTGCAAAACTGTCAGTCACATACACAAGCATATATTGAAAACCACAGAGCATAGACGGAATGTGAAACATGAGTCCTGAATGTAATTGGCTGGCTAAGGTAAAAGCATTTGACACCTGTTGGTGCTTTTCTACAAAAGGCTTTATAAAGAGAAGCCACATGTAGATGCTTCCTGTTACTTTCTGTATAACAGTCTGGAGCATGTGGGGGTAAAATATGCTTTGCACAAACCCATCATGTTTTGATAATTACAACTCACCAGTCCTCTGATCTGGTATCATAACTGCTAGATTTAAAAGAAAGGGGCATTGTAGCTTCATTACAGCCTTATAAATAAATCAGTATTATAATCATCACCAGTATTAAGGGATACAACACTTTGCTTAACGGCTCCAGCACATAGTGTTAAATAATCGATTCCAAACAAGCCAGTGATGAAGCCAGTGATAATCTATCTGTGGTATGTAGGGTAAAAGAGTCAAAACACCCTTTACCAAGCAGACAGTGATAAACTCCAATGCACATACGCAAATAATTGGCTGAGAGAAAGCAAGCACACACAGTATCTGTCCTTATTCAGACCTTGTTTTTCTCATCTCTAAATCTTCTCCAACTGCAGAGCATAGAGCAGTATCTACCCTCTGTTTCTTTTTGTGCATCTTTTTCCTCCTCTGCCTCTCTTGCCTCCTCACAACGTTTTCTTTCATTGATTATATCTTGACTTTACCAGCCCTCCTTTTGCTTTATTGGCATTAGTGTTATACTGCATTAGCTGGGGTAAACTAGTACACATATCAGTAAACATGTATTCCACTTGTATGAGTGTGTGAGCTGCTCTAAGAGCAGTAGTTATGAATTGTTAGCAGCTGCTTATCTGCTTATCTGTGAATACAACAACTTAAATATGAACTATTATTTGGTGTACACACACAATAGAGTACAAACCCTCCAAACAAATAAACACCAAAGCAGTAGAAGTACAGATGCTCTCACACCAGCCTCTATACAGAAGATCTGCAGGTTAGTGTGTGTGTTGTTCCTCACCTTGTCCAAATGTGTGTGACTCCCCCTCCTCCACTCCAGTTGTCTCTGCTGCGCTGTCCCTCATGTAAATCCACTTCTTTCATAGAAACACTCCACATCTCATTCCTGTGTGCGCATGTGTGTGTGTGTGTGTGTGTGTGTGTGTGTGTGTGTGTGTGTGTGTGTGTGTGTGTGTGTGTGTGTGTGTGTGTGCGCTGCTGTTTATGTGCATTTACCGGAGGCAGGCGTCAAACAGACTGGCAGCGTTGGAGGAGGTAGCAGAGGGGAGGACAGCTTCTCACCAGAGGGAGATCCTTCACCTGCAGAGGCTGCTAAGAGAAAGACAGGAGGCTGAGGAGAGACTACTGCAGTCCAAACGGTAGGAGGGGAGAGAGGAGGAGAGAGAGAGGGAGGAGAGAGTGGAGGAGAAATGGTAGGAGGCAGCCAGGCAGAAAAAGGGAGGAGGATATGGAGAGAATGTGTGAATGAGAGGACGAGGACAAAGAATGAGGCAATGATGTGTGTAGCTGAAAAAAAGGAGGGAGGCCAGAGGCAGCGAGAGGCAACAGTAAAGTGTGAGTGGAGACGGAGCAGGTCAGTAGTTGATCAACAACTACTGATTAAAAACAGAAAGTGATGTCTAGACTTATAGATTGGTTTCAAGCTTTTTAAAATCACCGTCTTTTTTTCTTGAATTGTTTGCCTCAACATTTCAGCAAGACCACACGTGACCATTTTACCCTATCGTAGATGTACTGGTATCACATACATTTAAGGTTAAAATAATAAGGAATAGCAGTGCAAATGCCAGAGATTTTCCTTGAGGTAATTCAGGAACCGTGTTGCAGTTACATAGTTTGTCCAACAGACTCCTGACATGTTAATTTTTCAACTGGAAAATCTTTTGCCCAATGCATTCTCATAGGTCCTTAATGACCAAATTTAAAGCTGCTACAGTTATAATCAATATTTCTATATTATGTATGTAAGAGGGGTTTGCAGGGATGAACCCACAGATGATCATCACCTGACTGCAGTTCCCCTCAACTCTAGTGAGTTTTATTGATTTAGTTTTACAGCCTGCAACTTTACTTTTGAATTACTCTCACCACTCTCATCAGTTTGATTTCCAGCTGCAGCTATTTTAAGCAAAAAGCTCTGATAAAGCCACTGTATGCTTCATGCTCAGCCCCAAGTGAAACACCAACAAAGTTAGCTATTAGATGGTGAACATAGAACAGAGTATTTAGCAGTTAATCCACAATCTTTCTCTAACTTTAACCGAGTACTGCCTCAACATGACCATAAAAAAGTTTTATAACACTGAAGTCACTACAAATGAATATTGCACTGCAAGATGAGCTATATTGACAAAAAACAAATACATTCTCTTTGAAGATTTTGCTGACATGTTCAGTATCAATGCCATTGTTACTTGCCACATACATAAATTAACAATATATCCTCAATACATGTATAGAAACCGTGATCCAGTCACAAATATGTTTCGTAGACAGTGTACATGCTTTTGCGGTTTAGTTGTATAGAAACAACGTAATCATCATTGTGTGTTTACAGTTTACAGTTTATTACAGTTTATTTAATATAATGGCAATTTGGCTTTACACAACACAGCTCAACCCATATATATATATATACGTATGTGTATGTGTTTTGCACAGTTTCTATCTTTGTACAGTACATTCCCACTCTCATTGTTGGGTTCAGGGGACAGATGCTGACATCTCTACAAAACTGTGGACTCAGCAGATCACATAAAATTCTCTCTCCACACTGAGTCAGTTAGCCCCCTCATGACCAGCGATTTCTACCAGTCCTCCAGTCCTCACTGTGTATTCTCATTCACAGACGCTGTATTGTTGGGGGATGAACAATCACATCTGTTTTTCAACAGGATTCGCATAAGTAGTGCCTGAAACATTATGTTTTGGAATTACAGAGAAAGAGCCTCCTGCTATGCCAAACAGTATAACTTAATGGGGAATGATTGGTTTTGTAAATCTGTTAATATCAGACAGAACATTTTATACTGTATATGGTGTATTTATGTATACAGTGACTTTTTCTTGTATTTTGAGATAGCACTTGAGGCCAGTATGTCAAGATAAAAAGAGAAGAGCAATCTAGTAAATGAAGTCTGCTTGTTAATGATGATAACCCTGGACTATTGCATTAAGCTAATTGAATTGTCCTGGTGAGGAAGCACTGTATTTAGCAGAATAGTTGCAACTCTGTATGCAAGGACTTGGCTGTGGCATGTGACACAGAATGATTTGAAGTGGCAATGCTGGTGTCTTGGTAATGGGAGACATGAAAGAATGAAGTCGTGTAGCCAATAATTTGAGTTATGGCTGATTTTCAGGGAGAGATTATTTCAAGATATTTTTACTGCCACAGAATGACACCCTTGAAAAACCCAGACGGGTACTTTGTTGCTCCTGAAACAACCTACCACTTCCCCTTTATTCCCCTGTTAGTATGGCTGTTTTTAGCTCAGTCTCTGGGCCTGATGCCTGCTGCTATCAAATGAAAGCTAGCTAATCAGATTGTTAGAAGATCCTGTCCTGCTCTGCCCTGAGGGCATCTTAATGACAAATCACACACACACACACACACACACACACACACACACACACACACACACACACACGCGCACGCGCTACTAACCTACTGGCTCTGCCACACCACAATCCACTGCACTGCAAAACATGCACCATTCCCTGGATCATGTAGGTCATTGTGATGCATGTGGTTGAAGCCCTGACTCACCTCCAACCTGGTACAACAAAAGTGTGAAGTCAGTGTAGTATTTGTTGGTGAGCTCCTACCCGACCTGTGGTGCTGAGAATCCAGGTTTCCCCTGTTAAACTTGTGGAGGTGAGAAGTCAAACTCCTCACCTCCATATAGACAACATTATACTTTTTTTCTCTTTGATCTACTGCTTTGTATTCTGCCCATGCACCAGTAGCAGAGATGCTGATAGGTTGTGATTGCCGCCTGCCTGCTGAGTTCTGCGTACCCTCCAGGGAAGCAGCGCTGCCTGAGACTTCCAGGAGCTCAGGAGGGGATTGAGCCTTCAGATCACTTTTTTCCCCAGCAAAAGCAGCCCTGTCTCCCCCGCACCCAGCCATGAAAACACAGGAAGATCTGTATATATGAGCAAAGAGTGATTTTCACAAATAGCTGAAGTTTCTCATGTGTCTTCATTCTGACAAATGGCTCAGCTTTCATTTGATTTCTTTCAACAGTCAGCTGGCTGAGGACATAATTATATAATTAATTTGCAGATTATTAAGAAATGGTTTAAAATGCATGTGTCACATTCAGGAGGATATGCATGATTTTGAATGGGTGGGATAGAATGAGTTCAGTATTTGTATGAAGGATGCATGATAATTAGGTGAAAAGGATAGAAAGGATTAAGAACACAGAATTGTTTGAGAATAGGTTTACAATAAATTAAGTATATATCTGTAATAGTTTTATGAGATTTTGTTAGAGAGGTAAAATATGAGTTGATTCCATTTATAATTGATGAAAAATATGATTAGTAAGTATAATGTTTGTGAGGGAAAAATCCTCAGTCTCTTAAATGCAGGATGAACTTGTTTTTATTCAGAAATTTTAACAGCTCGGGGAAACACTGATGCAGTCTTAATCTCTCCTGTTTTGACACACTGGAAAATAAGCAGTGTAAACTGCAGACATTATTTTAATGGCATACACACTTGGAACCTCATGCATAATTAATGCTAAAGCCTATGAATGCAGATAAACACATTTTAGTTTTACTCAGTTATCCCTTGGTTTCCCATCAGATTCAGGAGTTGCTCTGAGGCTGCTGTAGCTCCAGCAAAGCAGAGACAATAGGTTGGAAGAAAGGCACAGGTGCAATTTTCCATGTGAAGGTCATGTTATAACTTGTATGTCCTTGTACCTTCAGTAGTTTGAAGAAAACATATAATGAAATGCATTACATGAAATTGACAGTGATGGGTGGTGATTTCTGTATATGGCGACCTTTGTAGAAGTAGCTACTATGTGGTTTGTACTCATTACTCTCCAGTCTCTCTTGAGGCTCAGCTCACAGAGATAATCCATAATCCATTTGTAGAGCTGCACCAGGATGCCATTTCTTAAACCTAATGAAATAATCAATTGTTGATATGTTTGTTGTTCATAGTGTTACAGCTCAGTTCATCAACACAAGTCACATTTGAACACACTGTATGGAGAATAAATGGAGAATAAATTCTTTTTTGATTGTCTAATGCTAGTGCTAGTGTAGTTCGCTGTGGTTGTCTCACAGACAGACCTGCCTTATAAACCCCACGGCTCAGAATAACACTGATTAATGTTAGTGTCTAGGGCTGACAGGGCAACGATGGTGAGGAAGGAGTTCTTCTGTCGTAGACTGATAGACCAAATCCTGAGATGGCTACTTCTTACTGAAGCTATAATTGTAATGGAGATTACTGGGCTGGTGGAGCTGCTGCTGAGCCTTTCTCTATAGGTCAGACTGCAGCTGTGTGGCCTGGTGGTCACCACAGCTATCCCATCAAATGACACACACACACACACCTACTGAGTTTTCAATCTCTTACTGCTGCAAGGTTTATTTTGTTATTCTGTCTGAATATTCTGTCTGTCTTCATAGGAAGCAGTGATGAGTGTGGTTGCCATGGGTAACGCATTTGTGCATGCAGTTCGGGTTGATGGTAATTAGCAGACGGTGAAGTTTGTGAGGGTCTTTACTCAAGGAAGACAAAGGACAAAATGCTTTACAGTCCATCACCCAAAAAAGCATCATTAATTAAAGATGAGATCATTTTCTCTAAATGTTTTCAAGATAAGCTTGTTGTCTCAGAGTGGATTAAACTCCATCAACGACCAATGTAAGTAACATTTCCGTATCACTTTCAACACAGCACAAGTTTAAATTGAACGCCATTGGATTAGCACAAAGTCTGCAGCAGCGCAAGTTTACAGGCAAAGAGAAACATAGAGAGATTGAATGCAAATTTTGTACCACCTTCTAAGATCACTGTAATACATTTATTATC